GAATCTCACGCATATTCTTTTGTACATCTGAATGAACGTGAAACTAAGCGTAACATGCACGAGCACAAAACCCCTTCCTGCCTCCTCCCCCGTATGAATTTGCTATTGACTATACTTTGGCAAAACTCAACGAAAAAGCAATGACAAAATCAAGCAAAACTTTGAACAGAATGTGAATTGGAGGTGCTCCTTTCGGAGGTAGGATGGAGAAAAGCGGTGAAAAGTTTGTTCTCCAGAATTAACAACAAAAGAAAAAAAATAGAGTGGTTTATAGGTGTAAAATGTTGCAATATTCATAACAGTCTCAGTGGCGCAGCTCATAAGACACATGTCTTTATGTTTTGACACGTTCGAGCATGAACTCGGTTCGAATCCAGCATCTGATGAACTCTTTCTTCTTTTTCCCCCCGCTACATATCAGATTTTGACCAACTATTTATCACAAGAAAGACAAGTAGGAATCAATAAGTTTTTGCATCACATTTTATTTGCACATTTATTGAATGGAAATGTTTCTGATTCACGCATGCAAATTCATCTTCAGATAGTGTCTTTATAGAAATGTGCGTGCAGTAGATAGCTCAGATTACATTGGGAAAACAGGCGACCGCTGCAAATTGCGCTTTAATGTTAAGCTGGTCAACTGTATGGTATGGAAACCTTATATACCTGCTAGATGAACCCGTCTCATACAGCTGCCATTGCAAGGCTCAAAGACACTTTGTAGAGTGCAATTTAACAACTGCCTCTAGGAGTCGCCAATGGAAATAAAACAGACACGCACAAAAAATGTGCGTACGCCAGCCATAAAGGTGGCGTGGAGGTGTGCACATTCCCACGTTCAGTTCATCGTTAGTTAATCCAAACGTGAGCGATTCTGAGCGTGAAACCTGGCGTACGCAAAGTTTTTGTGCGTATACAGCGTTGATACATGAGGCCCCTCATCTTGATCCACTAGAGCACCTTTGAGGTGTAGTGGAATGAGAGATCCGCATCATGGATGTGCAGTCGACAACAGCAACTGCAGGATGTTATTATGAGAATATGGACCAAAATTTCTGAGGAATATTTCAGTACCTTGTTGAATCTATGCCATGAAGAATTAGGGCAATTCTAAAGACAAAAGAGGGTCCAACCCGGTACTAGCAAAGTGTACCTAATAAAGTGCCCGGTGAGTCTATATTTTTTCACATCTGAAAAACTTGGGCTTCAAATCGAATATAATGTTGAACACACAGTGCTTCAGTATACCCCTTGAAAGTTCTTGGTAGAGGTCAAGCCAGTTAAACCAATTGCAACAGCCAAAGTATAAAGGGAGAATGAGTAATGCTAATAAAAATAGCTTATTATTCCAGCAATTAACCTAAAAAGCTAGACACATTCAAACATCTTACTGCATACAAAACATAAAAAGGCCCAGAGGTAAAATGGCAGCTTTCTATAAAACAGAATAAAAATTCATGCAAAATGAACGTAGTTTATATTTGCCAGTGCTTTTGTTGCTTATGGCAAATTTGATGGTACATTAGCTTTAGAGTGCTCCATGACGGTCCAGAATCATTAAACATTAATACACAATTATGGAATAGATTTTTAATGGCTCTACTTTGTTTTAATCAGGGCCTGTGTCCAGGGAAGAGTTATCATAGAATCTGGCTGACTGATTTAGGGGTGGCTGGTTTTTTAATGGCCTGTTCTCTATGACCTTAGCATTCTGGCACCGGCTAAGATAGCATCTTTGTTCTCAAGGACACAGTGTTATAGTGATACATAAACGCTTACGCTAAGCCACAACACTAAGAGATCTAGGAAAGTCACGCTGACAGTAGAGATAACATGCTGCTCACGACATTAAACAAAAGTTTGCAGTGATACAACTACTTAAAAGTGAATGTGGAATTATGGCTCATTTTTGTCATTCAAGTGGACATTAACAAAAATACATTATTTTTGTCATTGTCTGCACACTGAGTCTGACAACAGCCAGTGCTCTACACACAGATCTGATCTGCTAATCATCCAGTCTGTCTGAAATTTACATAAAGAAACTGAGACAAACTAAATCCGGAAGAACTTTGGCAACGTCTTTAAGATGTGCAAAAAAAAGTAAACGACAGTAAACATTGGTAAATATTCGCTGCTAGCCATTTAGATTCGGGTATGAGCTAACATTACACTAAAACAACTGGGAAAATAAAATAAATCTAATCTGGTAAACGCACAATTTCTGATCGGGACAGTGGCCTCTGTAAGGTCTAGCCAGTTAGTCCAACGACGGTGTATACTGGTGGACGAAGGTTCACTGGATATTCGGCCTTTCCGGTGCACAATGTTGATTTACTTTAAATTTAACTCATATCTGACTCCAATTTTAGTATGAGGTGGTTTAGAATATTAATATATTTATTTTAGTTTTATTTGACTCCAATTATAAAATATTTAATGAGATTATTTAGTTTTTTTTAATATTACTTTAGATTATGATTGAATAATTTCTTTGATTAGTTATTGTATATTATTCCTGTTCATTCGGATTCCTATAACATCCTTAGTCTTGTACCAGCCGAGTATAAAATCTCTTAAACACAAGCATGTCAGTCTTGGTCATCAAACAGGCGATTAACCACTATTCTAAAAAGGCAGAAACCAACTTGCTCAGTTTACAATATTTGTTGTGTGGTCCCCATAGATCTGTTGCCTACTAAATCACAAAACTATTTACTCGAAATCATAATCAGCAATGCAACGATTGGCTAACGCACAGCAGCGTAATGACATCATCTGATTGATATTCAGTTATCCATGCGAGCAAAATTACATAAAATTAGAAGTAAACGGTTTGTTAAAAATCCCACGCAATAACTTTCCACATCTGTTGTGAGCTGCAGGCTCTGCACTTTCATGTGTCAAGAGTAATCGTCATGTATTGCAATGCATATCAATGTATTTTGAAAGGAATAACTGTATAAATTAATTTTGCATCATAAAAGCATTTTGATATCAGTAAAGGTGTCTACAAGCAAAGCCTCAAATCATTGGTATATTAGCAGTCACAACAAGTGAATGACTGCATAAATTATCCTTTAAAAATAAAGTCAAATATTGTGCATCTACACATCGGTATTTAAAATGTTAATATCAATAAATTTAACTTTGAGCCACCAGGTGGCAGTCTTTGTACTTTTATTTTGAAGTGCACATTGCATAAATTGTATTAATATATATATTTTTTAACTTATGTATGTATGTATGTATATATATATATGTGTGTGTATATATATATATATATATATATATATATATATATATATATATATATATACACACACACATATATACATACATATACGGTAACAAAATATCAGCATTTGGTACATACTTTCAGTCAGGGGCGTTGCTAGACATAAAGCTCTACTGAGGCACGCACCCCATTCCCCCTCAAAAATCAATAAAAGTTTTATTGTTATTATACAATTATTTTTCTAAATAATCTTAAATGTACCTGGAAAACAATGTTAAGACAAGATGCTAAGATCATTTAAGAAATCTTTTGCACAAATTTTAATTTGAATGAAATTCTAAAGACAATTCAATAAAATACAAAAAAATAAATGTTTTATAGAATCATCTGTTGTCTTAGACTTGACTCATGGCAGGAAATTAGGTTTTTTAAGTCTTACCTACCTGACTTGTCATCCCTTCTTTTTGCTTCATACAAAAAAAAAATCTACCAGGAGGCATGCTTAGTGAGATCACAATCAAATTGTTTAAACTTTAGTTTTGTCAACTTGCAAAACTAAAAAGGCGGTTACTTTGGTTTTACAACGCATTAGTGCCGCGTGAGCAGCAAGTAACTATCGGGACTCGCACTTGGGAGAAGAGCAGCTCATGCGAGAGGCGCACGGGATCTCTGCGCGCACACACAGAGATGCATCAGTTTGCTTTTTGATTAAAGTACATTGCTTTCACCAGCGTTGGTTTAATTGCACATAGAGAATAACATTTTTATTTTGGAATTACCACACTCAATAAACACACTTGTATATGAAGTAAATCATATCTGCATGTGCCCCTGCTTTCAGTATTATATTTGTTTGAACTCACCCGATCTAATCCTGTTTATATAAAATGAACCTGTTCATAAGCAGGTTTAAGCTACCAGAACTGTTGCTATGACAACAAGTCTCAGATGAGTTTTGAAGAACTAAACGATCCTGGATCATGTCAAATCATCAATATTCAAATCCAGCTAATTGAGTAATCCACGTATGAAGAACAGACCCCTGGTGCTTCGTTTTCCCCCAGCCAAAAGACATGTGGTATAGGTGAACTGAATATGCTAAATTGTCCGTAGTGTATGTGTGTGAATGCAAGTGTGTATGCGTGTCTCCCATTGCGTTATGGCTGTAAGGGCATCCGCTACATAAAACTTATGCTGGATAAGAAGGCTGTTCATTCGCTGTAGCGACCCCTGATTAATAAAGGGACTAAGTCGAAAAGAAAAAAAAATATTATATTGTATAACTGCAGATAAGCTGCATACATGCTTCACAGCTGTACTGTCAACTCTACTCACACCTTATTTTCTTATGATTTTGATTGTAATGAAAATGTGCACGTTTTGTATTTAACCTATTTTGCAATGTGGAAGTGCACTTGCTTGTTTTAGAACTTCCGATTCATTTGCCTATGGGAGAAATGACTAGTAATATTAAATGGCATAAATCAGTACTTGCTCTACAAACAAGTGTTCATTTGTAAACATAAACTTTAGCATTATTTAATAAGAAAAAAAATATCAGTTTACAACAGCCTTGAACTAGCTAATCAAGCTCTTTTTATATACTAAAAACTTATGGGCAAGTGTGTTGAAGGAAGTTGAAGTTAAACTATGCAGGACACCGGCCCTCCAGGACTGAGTTTGAAGACCCCTGACTTGGATTGACAGATGGGCTTTCTCATTTGAAAAGAAAGCCCGGTATAATGAACGAGTGAAAACAGTATTTAACTGGTCATTTTATTTACAATAACATAATAGAATCCACACCAGAAGAAACAGAGCTGTGTTGTGCAAGAATCACACCCGACCTAAAAAACAACACACAAAATAGCCATGAGAAATATTACAATGACATTACTGAATCTGAATATTGAGACATCGTGAACCACATAATTTCAAATTGTAATTGATTGATTGAACATTAAAAGGTACTTGTGCTCAGAATGTTTATGATGCAATGTTACTTACAATGTATGACTGGTAGGAGCTTCACTTCTTCAGGATCTGATGCCTGACAACAATGAAGGGGAAGGCGAATCCACTGCCGAAGAACAGCACCATCATGCCAAGAAGCCTCCACTTGTTCTCTACTGAGAAAGGCAGGTTCTGCAAAAAAATAAATAAAAAATACAATAAATAATTTGAGAATTACTGCAAACACAGAGTAAGAATATGAATGCTAAAAGTTGAATTAGTTTTCAATTCCCTGATAAAAGTTTTCGATTGCAATAGAGAAGCAAAATTGATCACAACTTCCTGGCATTGCTAATGAATAAGTTAGACATGGTCATTAGACTTACTTATTCAGACGAAAATTAAAGAGCAACATCTTTTTAATTCTATTTTTAACAGCTACATAAAACATAATTATCAAAACTATTGATAAAAATTAAATAGAAAAGATGATGACCTGCAACTTAATTTACATGATCGAGAGAAATCTGTAAAGCAGGAGGGCTAGGATAACCAGTTAAAGGACGTTACTTACAATTGCACAATAATACACCTTTAAGTAGCTTACACTTCACCCACATTGCCATTTGCATACCTTTTATTTATTTAATACCTGTTTTGAGTTTTTTCTGTTGAACAGAGGATAATTTGAAGAAAACGATAAAATGGGTAACCATTTACTTTCATGGTAATTGTTTATCCTATCATGGAAATCAATGGTAAGTTTTCATCTAAATATCTTTCTTTGTTTAACAGAAATAAATACACTCAAATAAACTCATAAAGGTATAAAAATTTGCGCGGGTAGAGTACATTTTCATTTTTACACTAACTATAAAATTAAAGTCAATTTTCCTGCATTTACGTACTTTTATTTGATATTCATTTCTTTTGATATTCATTAAATGTCTCTGTCTTGTAAATAAGCATTTACTACATAGGCACATGCTAAGCTAAAGTAAGCTAACGTTATGCTATGCTAATGAAGCTCATGCATCCGGTCTATGGAGATAAATCATAATACAACAAGCAATACGTTAAATTTACAGGACGTTAATTCCATTAAGTACAAAGCAAACAAACCAATTATTTATAACAAACGTTAAGCACTTAAAACGTCCTCTATTCAGGCTTTAGATGAACATCAGGCCTCTGCCGGCCAAACATACATCCGCTAAAGATTTAAACAACAATTGGATTGTTTATCTCGCATCCGAAAACCTACGTACCTTTCCTGGTCCCTCCGCATAGTGACTGGAGCGAACCGCGGACGTGGCAAACCGACGAACAGCTTGTCCGAGCATTGTTTTCAGCTGAAGTGTTGGATCTGCGCGACCTGTATATGACTCTCAACGACCTTCCTGTCTGTAGATAGAGGGCGAACAGTCTTATGGGTAACGCGACACACCGCAAGTTATTGTGGGAAATGGAGTTTCAATGCAGGCGCTTTCAAAGTCACGTACACGAGGACAAAACAATATCAGAATAAATCAAGAAAATTAATAGGGCTTTAGTTGTCTAAATGCTTTGACCATTGTTGTATAAGTAGTGTAGGATACTCTAAAGTAAATAGGTCTAATCTTTAGATTAGAGTTAAAGTGAAATTTCTATAGTTTATAACCATTATAAAATAATTTCTGTGGATCTCCTTATGCCTTTTCTTTCTTTCTTTCTTTCTTTCTTTCTTTCTTTCTTTCTTTCTTTCTTTCTTTCTTTCTTTCTTTCTTTCTTCCTTTTTTACAAAACGATTTTTCTTGTGTGTGCAAACAAACTTGGCAACAAATCTTTTTTTTTTTTTTTTTTTTTTGGACATGCTCAAAGAGTGGTTCAAATAGAAACGGGATGAAACAATGAAGATTTTCAGATTCACAGTCAAGGCCTAATAGAGTGAAGGAACTATGACATCACTTTGTAGACAGCTGCTAGCATAAAACTGGTTCCCTCGATAAAACCCCTATAGAATTTTCCCATATGCTTTTTGAAGATTGCAAATAATAAGCTCTGTGTTCAAACACAGTTCATTACACTTAGGCTACACGTTTTGTCCAGCCAGATAATTCTCACACGAAAATACATCTTTGAGCACTTTTGGTTCTTAAATGCAATTGCAAGATCTGAAAAGCTAAAATTAGGCTATGCATGCCAGCTTGTGGTAAAGAGAGGTTTTGGCTGTCTTCTAACATAATCCATCCAAAAAGTTTGCTTTGTTGAGCTGTTTGAAATTAACTGTAAAGAAACTGAATAAATAAAGAAATAAATAAATAAAGTTTGAAATAGGCTTTTAAATGTACTACAAATTGGCAGTGTTGGGGAGTAATTAGTTACATGTATGTAATTTAGTTACAAAACAAATGTAACAATAATTTGTTACAGTTACTGAGAAAAAAATTGTAATTAAATTACAGTTACTTATGAAAGTTGTAAAGATTACAAATGATATATATATATATATATATATATATATATATATATATATATATATATATATATATATATATATATATATATATATATATATATATATATAATTTACAGTAGTAAAGGCTAAAGTATACTGTGGTAATTACTATTTAATATTTACAAATGATACTACATTATAGTGTAATTTATTAATTAAGAGTTGTAAATATATATCCAATGCTTATTCCTAAATATTTCCCTTTATATTAAATTACTATAGTATTTTAAATGTGTAACACCTGGTTTTAATGCATTTTTTGTTTGCCGTTATATACTATAATTTGTTTGTTTAGTACAGCATATTATTTACAGCAGTGGTTCTCAAACTTTTTTCACCAAGTACCACCTCAGAAAAAAAATTGTCTCTCCAAGTACCACCATAATGACCAGTATTAAAATATAGTAGCGTTGAAGGCCTAATTAAGCAGCTACAGCTGTTCACAGTTCAAAAACGAGGCAGGTTAATTCATCTTATTAAGAATATTTATTATTGTCAGCCACTTTTAACACAAATAGTTTGACCATTAACACTGTGCTTGCAGGCAAAAACAAACAAACAAACAAACAAACAAACAAACAAACAAACAAACAAACAAACAAAAAAAAAAAGGTTTAAATTAAAATGTGCTTTCTAAAGTTCATTAAAAATGGCACTGTTCTTGAAAAGCAAAAAGAAAACTGCTGTACTTAAATCTAAAGTATTAACATAGTAGCCCATTCATCAAAACCTGGAAATGTTGCTTGGACTTTATAAAGAAAGGCTATGTGTCATATTTATACACTTTCTGACTAATTTTGAAATATGTTGCATGTAAATATGACAGGGTTACTACAGACACAGCCTAATGAAAATCAAGGACTTTTAAGAACTTTTTCCCCTATTTTCATATTCAAGACCGACATGCTATGTATTGAACACCTGAATTGTATTCTAAGCAACCCATAAAACATTGCATAGGAATTTATACAAATAAAATCCATTAATAATAATAATATTTATTAATCATATATTAATCATAAAATAAACCTGCACTAAATGTGTTTGTGAAATGTTTTGTACTTAAGTAAAAATACTATCACACTGCTAAAATAATAAACATTTTAGTAAATAATACTAATATTAGGTAAAAGTACAAAGTACTCTTTTAAAAAGTACTAATTAGTTACTTAAAAAAAATAAAATCATGACAATTAATCTTTTTCAATAGCACAGCCAAAACAACCACATACTCTATAACAGGTTCTCGACCTTTTACACTTCGGGACCCACTTCTTTTTCCTATCAATGTTTGAAGTCCCACCTGTCTGACATTTTCTCTAAAATATTTGTATAAAATGTTCATTTGAACCTTTATTTATTAACAATATACAATATATTAACAATATTTTTTTCAACACATTTGTAAACATAAGAGTTTTAATAACTCATTTATTTGATCTTTGCCATGATAACAGTAAATAATAGTTTAATAGAAAATTTTTAAAACACTTCTATACAGCTCAAAGTGACTTTTAAAGGCTTAACTAGGTTAATTAGGTTAACTAGGCAGGTTAGGGTAATTAGGCAAGTTATTGTATAATGATAGTTTGTTCTGTAGACTTACTACAGAAGAAAAAAATATATTATCAGACATGCTGTGAAAATTTCCTCGCTCTGTTAAACATCATTTGAGAAATATTTAAAAAGGCAAAAAAAAAAAAAAAAGATTAAATAATTAATTTAAATAATAATTCTGACTTCAACTGTGTATATATATATATATATATATATATATATATATATATATATATATATATTACCTTTGTTGTGCCTTCTGTTGATTTCTGATGATTTTGGTCATAATTGTAATTACAATTATTTAAAACGATTATTAGATGAAGTCAAAATTATTAGCGCTCCTGATAATTTTTTTAAAAATAAATATTTCTCAAATGATGTTTAACAGAGCAAGGAATTTTAACAGTATTTCCTCTTATATTTTTTTTTTCTTCTGAAGAAAGGCTTATTTGTTTTATCTTGACTAGAATAAAAGCAGGTTTAAATATATTGAAACCTATTTTAAGGTCAATATTATTGGCCCTTTTAAGCAATTTATTGTTTGATTGTCTGCAGAAGAAACTACTGTTACACAATGACTTGCCTAATTACCCTAATTAAGCCTTTGAATCGCACTTTGAATCTGAATGCATATATTTTAAAAAACATCAAGTAAAATATAATGTACTGTCATCATAGCATAGATAAAATAAATCAGTTATTTAAAATAAGTGATTAAAACTATTATATTCAGAAATAAGTAAAAAAAAAAATCTTCTTTCCATTAAACAGAAATTGGGGAGGAAAAGGGCTGCTAATGTTTAGGAGGGCTAATAATTCTGACTTCAACTGCATATATAGTTGTTTTCCACCCTGCAAAAGAAAGAAAAATAAATACACTAGAATAAAAAATATGGAACAAACTGTGCTTTTAAGCATCTTCACTGTAAGAAAAACGTCAGAATTAAAAATTAAAAAGACGTGACTTTTTAGGGGCAGTTTCATATGGATTTATTAATCATTCTTACTGTTTAGTGAAAGCAAACTGCCGTAGTTTATTAAAGACGAAATCTCACAGCACGACAGCTGCACCTTCAGCAGACCTCCTCATTCCTGCAGCACGAGGGCTTTATGCTTGTTTATGAGTGGCAGATCTGTTCGGCGAAATATCTGTCTGCGTGTCACCGCATCTCAAACGACTGAAACGATATAACTAGAGCAAACTCCACTGTGCTGCTGAGTGAGTGAGAGAGCTTCTCACTGAACAGCGCAGCAGCGATGACGTAAGGGTGCCGAGGCCCGATATGGTGTGAGTGCGGGCGGTGGGGGAGACGGGAGGGGGGACAAGCGTGCTTTGGCCTGGTTCGAGGCAACTGTACCTAGTGTGAGTACGGCCTGAGACCGAATGCTGATCGCATGCTTCTGACTGACTGTGTGTGCGCGGTGCACACACACACACACACACACACACACATAACCATACAGTATTTCGCGCTTTTAAAGGGTCACGAAACACCAAAACACATTTTTTGAGCTGTTGACAGTCGTATATGTGTCCCACACTGCTAAAAACACTATTAGGACACCTATATTTCACTAAAAAGTGTAAATTGGTTGTTTTTGCGTTATTTCAAGCAAATTCGTACTTCGGGTTTGAAACGAATTTTTGAAGCTGCGTCACGGTCATGACATAATAGCGTTGTATTCCAGCGTGCAGACTGGACATCTGTGCCAGAGTGTGTCTTATTACGTCTTACAGTGTGATGCATTAATGCATGAGTAAGACTTGGTTCAAACCAATCAGCGCGCTCTATTGTGCAACTTCATTAATATTCATTACTGTCACCGTGTTTACACCACAGAGACGCCACGTTGTGTTGGCAAAACAAGCGTGAAGTGTTGCTTTTATAGTTTGCTGCCGTTAAGTTTCGTTTTCATTTTCTCTCTGTGAGAGCTCATCTGGATCACGTGTGGATTAACAGTGTACGCGACGCTCGACAACAATAACTTACGTGTCTAAGGAGGATTATTGTTTACCTGAGAGCTGTTCTCATCTGCAAACGCTGAGATCCGGATTCGCTTGTAGTCTTCTCTTCATAAAGACGCAGCTCTAGTTGCTGGGGATTGTCCTGTCTCTACAGATTTGGTAAGTGAGCAACCAGTGCTCTTTGTTTATTCAGTTTGTTCGTATTGAACTAAGTTAACTATTGCACTGAGTGCAAACATGTTAGCACCGCATTTTGTGACCGGAATAACACACGCGGCTTTCTGACGCTATCTGCCGTGTGCATCTAAGTTTACGGGAAATGCGGAGGGTTTTTTTTCTCTCATTCGCCGTGCGGTATCAAACATTGCATGAAAAATACA